GAAATGTTTGTTTCATAATTATTATTTAATAAATTTGATTTATTTACTAGTTCTTACTATTTTCGAATTAATTTTGTTCATTATATATTTTTGTAAAATAATATTTTTGTAAAATTTTTTAGTGTAGGATTACATTATTATTGCCGTATTTCCAAGAGACGACAATAAATCATACGTCATATGCCAAAGTGCGTTACTTACGTTTACTTAAGTCTCTAAGTAAGTGTTACGATAATTATTGTGCTCAGACCTTATTGCTTCAACCAATCCGATGCTTCGATTTTAAAGTCGCATCATTCTTCAACTCTCCGACGTTATGACCAATAGAATGGTCTTAATGTACAATAAACAATAAGGAAGATACATGAGCGGTTCGAGTGGAAATCTGAATAACAAAGAATGGTTCCTAAAAAGCTGCATTAACATGTTATAAACGTTTCAGAATACGATCAACGCGATATTACAAACAGCTTTGAAGCGTTTTTTAATTGGTCCATCAAATGCTTCAAAGCGTTTGTAGCGAGACCACCATAGCCTATATCTGATTCGTTCCTTTCTCTTCGGTGCCCTTCCATGTGAAGGAGTGCGTGGACCGATCGTTGTTACGCCAAGGTAAGGGCGGAAAATATCCACTCCCCTCCTTTCATCACATCGCTACATTCGATACTGGTCTAATCGCGGACGCATGCCTGCGAGAGCCATTACCAACAAGAAGTACATCACTGCTAGGGAGTGGTGACCTTCTACGTCCTTAAAACGTCTGTTTATCACGAATTGCTAGTTTGAGTGTTCATAGTCAGTTGTATCATCGCTTCTCAATTTTTGTTCACAAATCATATCCATTTCTTGTTTCTGTTTATCTACGAGGCACGAGATAAAGGTAACGTCTGATGATCTTGTATTTTAGTGATAATCTTATATTTTCTCTTATGATTGTCTTTGGAAGCAGTTCCGAATTTTTGATGAGTATTGCAAAAGATTCAAAGAAATTCAAGATCATCAAAATTTTCAAGGAATCAATAGATGATGTTTTAAGTCAAATTTTATATGCTGTCTTTTGATATCACATATTTATATTGAATTTAGCCAGGGCTGCGTTCGGTTTTGTCAAGCCAATATTACATGCATACATCCGTTTTTTATCGTACGACATATTTTTTAAGCTTTTTGGCAATAGGACAAAAAGATCCGAGATCTCTGTCTTGCAGTCAATTAACACGCTTAAATTTGTCAAAAAATAGATGCATGTACTTACCACAAAAAATTGATGCATGTAAAGTCAATACTCATTAGGATGCTATTTCATTTGTCGTATGACAAATGTGTACAGAACAAAGAAATCCTCGGATCTCTCTATCTCATAGCCAATCAACAGGCTTTTAAAATTTGTCGTATGACAAAAGACGGACGCATGTAATATTGGCCTCACTTATGTGCAAGCGATTGTTACTACTTAAGAATTCTCATCGATTTTAATGAAATTATGCTCATTTGACTGATTTGACGCATTTTTGCACAAAATACACAAATCTGACAGAGGAAAGTGTCGCTCTGCTCTGTGTATCAAAATATTAAAGTTGACTACTATTCAGGTTAAGAAATCTAGCCCCACACAACGTAAGAGAATAGCGATAGCGATAGAAATAATGATTTCAACCCAGAAATTGGATACGCCGGATTACATAGTTTCTGATAGGTGTTGAATCGTATAATTTCTATCGCTATCACTATTTCCTTATATTGTTGGGCTTTATAGCCACTAAATACTACACAAGCATGTAATCATGTCTGACATTATTTAATTCCAAAAAATAAATATTTTCTGCTTTAATTACACAAATTCTCTACTTTTTAAACAAAAATTCTCCGCTTTAAAAACACAAAGGAGTAGAGAAAAGGCCCTTATTATAAGATATTCAATACGTTTTGGGTAAATGCTAAAAATCTTTGAGCAGAATTTAAAAAAATAATAGCTCATTTTAAAAAGAATTTAATAAATTTTCAGATAATGTAAGATTTAATTAAATTTTTTTTTTAAATTAAAGAAATGTAAAAAATGAGCAAATTGCAAAGTCAAAAAATTGTGCTCCTAATATGATATACTCTAAGAAATCGATAATAAATCGCAAAGTACATCAGTATTGCAATTAAAAAACTTTATTTAATGTTTCTAAAATGTAAACACAATCAACATGCGCGAAAAATGAACATGCGACGGATTGTATCCAAAACTCGTCTTCAAGTAGTTGGAACCAAACATCGCAGAAATAGGCACTTTATTCGTTGTCCTTTTTATTATTATATAATAACTTTTATATTTTAGCAATGATTTTCATTATGACATAGCAGCATAAATTATTTCATATTAGAAATAAGGTATCTCATATTATGATTTCCAGACCTTACGATTTTACGATCATCAAATATAATTTCTGTAATTAAGCAATTCAACATATTCCATATTTTTCTATTAGTATGATTTTCTTTTATTACTATATGAAGAATTTATTGCCAAATATTTATTTTTTTATTAAATAATAAACAAGATTTAAAGGCTCATTTTAATGAAACTTGAACATCCAAATTCTAAAATCTTTTTTATAATATAGGCATGATCTAATAATGAATTTTCATTAAATAGTTTTCAATCCAAGAACAATAAATTCATGGTTGAACCAATAGATAGCATTTATTAATTTAGCAGAAACGCCATTATTTCTTATTAGGCGCCTTCTCATAATAGGGCTCTATACCCAGTTTTATAGAAGAATTTGGATCCCAAATGAACAACTTTGAGACATGCCTAAAATTTTAAGGTATCAAAAGAGAATCAAAAGTTTCGTAAGTTTCAACTTTATAAAAGTTTTTTAAATGCTAGAATTATTCAAAATTCGCTATTATGACTATGTACCACTGGTCTTATCCAGTTTCCCTGCGTCCAGGGCGTCTTCTTGTGATAATAACAGTGGTAACAGATTGTTCAGTCGCGGACACAGAATTTGTTACTTTTTTTTTGATGATTTTCGGAATACTCAAAACTTTTCGATTTCAGTGCAATTCACTATTCACGGATGCGTGTATAAAGCTGAAGCCAGACTTAGCAGCCAGAACGTGGTAGGCAAGGGCGAATAGGGTACTGGGGTCATTGGGATTAAAAAATAATAAAATGCATTAAAAATGCATTGAAAGCAAATTCTACAGTTAAGATAATATACAAAATAAGTTGAAATATAAAAAAATTATTATTATAATAACCATGGAATTAAATTAAACAAAAAATGTACTAAATCTTTATAAACTATTTAGCAGCCAGACTGTATGCATACTCGAGTATGCATACTAGAGACTTGAAAAAAAATCACACATACTCTTAAAGATAAGAACGAAACGATGAAACGACGATTTGCCCAGGGACGGCACTAATTGTTAATATAAAAATTAAATAACATTTGTATATACCCCGAGTATATCGACTGTTTTATACTGGATTTTGAGAGGCTTTGTGATTTTTTCAAGTCTATGAGTTCGGTCAAGTTGCTAAATTATTTATAAATGTTTAATTTTTTTAATTAACGAATGGCATCTCCAGGCAAATCATCTCATTGTTTCATACTCGTTTTGGAGAGTATGTGTGATTTTTTTCAAGTCTCTACGAGTTTGCGTACGGTCTGGCTACTAAATAGTTTATAAAGGTTTAGTACATTTTTTGTTTAATTTCATGGTTATAATAATAATAATTTTTTTATATTTTAACTTATTTTGTATCATTTTAAGTGTAGGACCTGCTTTCAATGCATTTTTAATACATTTTATTAATTTTTAATTCTGAGGGCCTCAGCACTCTATTCGTCGCGTTCTGGCTGCCATGCCTTCAGCTTCGTGATGCGTGTAATAAACGGTTATGACAACTGTCAAAATGATATAGAATCGAAGCATACAAGGTAAAATCAAGAAATACATCTTGTGTTACGCGAAAAACACCTAAATGTAATTGTATACTACACCTAATTGTATACTGCAAGATAGTAAATATAAAAATAGACCAAATGAACTTTTGTTTAATAAATTCATTAACATTTTCAATGCGTTAAAAATTAATGTAAGACAATAAACTAACTTATAATATGTAATAAAATTATATATTATATGGTTATGCAATTATACAATTACATAATAAATTATATATTAGGTGTACAACTTTGCTTCCGCCGTTTTCCGAAATTCGAGGTTATTGTAAAAAACTGATTATACATTTATGATTCAAGTATTGTCCATCGCTGGCCACTATTTTCTCTCATCTTTCGGGTAGCGTACGAATCCCGCGTCGAAAAAAACTGATCATCTTTTGAGGCTATCCACGAATCGATCCAATTTTTTACTTCTTCATAAGACCGGAAGTGCTGGTCAGCCAGGCATGTGTCATTGATCGAAACAAGTGATAGTCAGAAGGAGCAACGTCTGGAGAATACGGCGGGTGGGGTAGGACTTCCCATTTCAACGTTTCCAAGTATGTCTTGACCACTTTCGCAACATGAGGTCGAGCATTGTCATGCTGCAAAATCACTTTATCGTGTCTCTCGTTGTATTGCGGCCGTTTGTCTTTCAATGCTCGGCTCAAACGCATCAATTGCGTTCGATACCGATCGCCTGTGATTGTTTCGGTTTTAATAGTTCATAATACACTACGCCGAACTGGTCCCACCAAATACAGAGCATGATCTTGGACGTCAAAATCACCGTTCTTGAAGCGTTGAAACCACTCACGACACGTTCTTTCACTAATAGCGGCCTCACCATAAGTATTTTAGAGCATTCAATGAGCCTCAGCCGCAGATTTCTTCATATTGAAGCAAAAAATTAAAAACCTCCCGCAAATGACGAGAATTTGGCTCATAAATTGATATTTTCAATCGAGAATAACTTTATGATGCAGACACAAATCGACTAATGTTTCTATGGGGTTATGTTGACAGATGCCCAAGTTTATTGTATGACGTCTATCATCTATTTATTTCGACCACTTACTGCTAAAGCCATCTATAGGAAAACGGCGGAAGCAAAGTTGTACACCTAATAGTATATATTATACAACCATATAATTATATGATATATAATTTTTTGTGGAAAATTTAATAGGATTGTTCTGAATAATCTTTTCATTTTCAGAATTCTGCAAATAACATATAGAGACGATTACTTCGCTTGAGTTTCATCTTTACAGTATTCCCATACAAAACAATCTTTCTCTTATCTCACAATCTAAATAACAGTGTCTAAATAACAGTGAGTTATCGATTCTGTATCAAATCTGCACGCACCATGTTTACATCAAAGAATTTCAGATTATAATTTTTTTTCTAATGCGTAGACCTCATTACAGAATTAAATCAATTTTAATTGTTTATTTATATTATATTCATATATGTATATACGAATATTTAATTTTAGAATAAAGTTAAATTATTCTTTCTTTAACAATATGATAACTTTTTTTTGATAATACAGAATGCAAGATTCATGAATTTAACATTTTCGAAATAAGACTAAGGAATTGCTATTACGAAATTTTTCAATCAGACAATTCAGTATGAACAATTTTTTTCCTTAGCCTTAATTCGAAAATGTTAGATTCATGAATCTTGCATTCTGTAAGTACACTACTCAACAAAAAATAGGGAACAAATAGGGAACACATTTCGAACACGCTCATAAAAACGCAATATTCAAAACACTGTAACTCAGTGAAAAATCATCGCAGATAAAAAATAAAAAAGCATTTGAAAAGCACTTGAAATCTCTACTTTCGATAAGATTGGAAAAAACCTGGTTTTTAAAAAACTCAACCCACTGGGTTTTATGGAGGTTTTATTGGGTTTTATT